CCGCTCGGCGGCCGGGGTGAGTCGCCCACCCCCCAGGTCGGCCGGGGCCTGCCGCTCTGGAGCCGCCTCCCGCGCCGAGCCCCGGTCTGCGCTCCCCGTCCCAGCCCGTACACCCCGCCCGGGGCGCCCGAACCTCGCCGCCTCCCTTCCGACGGGCTGAGTGATGGCGCCGTGCGCTTTGGAGACCCTCTGGGTTTGGGCGTTAAACCAGCCACCACCTTCCATCCCACTTCCCCCCGGCTCCACTTCCCTCTTAATTCCCGGTGTGGACCCTTCGCCCAGCCCTTGCCCCCGCCGGCAGGTCCAAAAGCCCCCTCCGCGGCGGCGGATCCCTTCCCGAAGGAGACTTCCTGGCTGGCTTCTTTGGCCAGGGGGGGCCTGGCCTGGCCCCCAGCTCCGCGGCGTGGCCGGCGGTGAGACGGCGGCAGCCCTCCATCCTCTCCCGCACTAGTTTGTGCATCAGTTTTACAGCTGGGGATCCAGCGCGTGGGTAGGGCCTGGCGCAGGGGGGACAGTCTTCGGGAGCTAGCGCTGCTTCTCCTCCTACACCCCCCCGCCCCGTCCCCAACTCTCCACCAAATCTTCACTATTTCTCATTTAAAAGAACAGAAGACCGCAGCGCTTATAGCTATTCTTATTTCTATTACCCTCCCCTAGCAGCTCCCGGAGGGACTTCATCTTGCATCCTGATGCTAGTTTGGACCCCAAGCTTCCTTCTTTGTGCCCCTCCCCGTTTCCCCGAGGCCAGAGGGTCACAGTCCTACTGCCCCGTGGGGAGTAGTTGGAGAGACTGAGGCTCCCCATTCAGGACTTGGAGCTCTTAGGCTGACCCTAGGCTCCTTAGCACAAGAAGACAGCAGCAACCCCCTCAAAGGAAGGCTAGGCCATCCAAGGAGCTGGTGAATATGCCCTACACGGTTTTGCCTACCACACAGGCCAAATCCGGGGGGTCTGTGATCGGCAACAAAAACCGCTTGTGAAGGGAACCCGTGCTAGCTTCTCCCAGCCAGGGATGGGGAGAGATCTGGGCGGGGCTGTGGCTCTCCACCCCATCTCCTCCCTTCGCCTCGGCCCAGGACACTCCTCCCTGGGGAATGCTGCTAGTTGCCAGGATTGCTGGGGGCGTTAGGGGCAGCCTGCCCAGCCTGATGCTGACTCTCCTTGCAGATGGGGTTGGTGAGGACTTGGCACACGGTTGTGTAGTACCTGGAGTCAGCAGCACCTACCGACGGATCCCGGACGCTGCTCAAGGTGGCTCGCTGGACTCCTGGAAGGGAGATGGCCAGCTGAGAGGTCTCAGGAGGCAGGAGCCACTTCTCAAACTGGCCTCCCGGGACTCAGGAGTGGAGATGGTGGTTGGGGACAGCCTCCTGGCTACCTCACCGGGCCTTTCTCAGGACTCTCTGGACTTTGAGCCCACAGGGAGCCCTGAGCCCCTGGCCCTTGCTTCCACGGAGCCTCCTGCCCACCTAGGCCGGCTGCTGGCCAACCGTAAGCTGGAGCAGGTGCTGGAGCGGTCCCGCCAGCTCCCGACTTCCCCTGCCAGTATGTCACAACGCCCCCGCTCCCTGAAGTCCCCCAGCGAGCCTGAATGTGAAATGCCCCTTTTTGGAGCCGGGGAACAGGAGGCCACTGAGGCAGAAACTGACCTGGAGGCAGGCCTGGAAGAAGCAGAGGTGGTGAGTGTCGGCTCTCAAGCTGGGTCAAGAGTGGGATGGAAATGGCCTTTTTACACGGAGGGATGGGTTGCTGGCTGGTGGGGCCTCACTGACTTGTTCTCCTTGGAGCTCTCTTGGGGTGGGGCGTTCCTTGCCGCTAATTGACGGGTTGTTCTCGCCTCAGCCCACTCCCAGCTGTGTGGAGGTGGGCAGGATGGGGGCCGGCCTGACAGCATGCCCGGCTGGGTACTGGGAGGCCAGTCGGGGGTGTTTGCCTCCTCTCCCTGGCCCCTCTGCTCCCATCGGCTGGCTGCCCAGGATGGGAGCCTGCTTGAGTTCCGAAGGGCCCCCCTACCTCACTCTGTCCCACAGGCGGGGGGCCTGGGGCCTGAAGCCCGGGCCTGTCTCCCAGGGCAGGGTCTCCGCTACCTGGAACACCTGTGCCTGGTGCTGGAGCAGATGGCAAGGCTCCAGCAGCTCTACTTGCAGCTGCAGACCCAGAGGCCCCCACGGGTGAGTGAGCCGCAGGGCCGGCAGGCCAGCAGGGGTCAGGTGAGTGGGGGCGGCAGAGGAGGGCTGGGACCCCTGGAACCAGCCCTCGAGTCAGGTCTTGAGTGCCCGTCTGTCCTGTGCACAGGATCCTGAAGCGGAGGAAGAGGAGGAGGCGGGGAAGCCCACCCTGGCCCCCTCACCGCCACCTTCTCGTGCCCCAGGCCGTGAGGTGCACGGACTGCCCAGCCCGATGCAGGAGACAGGTGAGGGGCAGTCGTGTTTCCCTCTGTGTCTTACCTGCCCAGGGCTGCCCTCCTCCCCCGGCAGACCCAGTGAGCCCTGGGCTTGATGGGTGGCTTCCTGCTTCTGGCCCTGGGTAATCTGATTCTCTTTCTGAAGGGGCAAAATCAGCTGCGCCCCTAAAGGTAGGGCTGCCCGGTGTCAACCCTCCCATGCTGTTAGAGGCTGCTGCAGAGCCCGCTCACATCTTTCCATCCTCCCAGGGACACAAGGTAGGTGCTGGGTATGTGTGGAGGCAGGGGACAGGATGGAGTGGGGCTGTGGGGTGGTTGGGATGTGTACACAACGTGAAGGCCAGGAACGCTGGGAAAGTGACAGAATTCCTGATTGGAGCAGGTGACTTGTCCTGGCTGTGCTGCCCGCTGGCTCTGGCAGCTTGGTCAGGGGCATGTTGTGGGGAGGAGCTCTGTGGTGATCCCCTCACCCTCTGCTCAGCGGGATCTCTCCCACTGGAACAAGGTCAAGGTCCTGCTCAACCGGATCCGTTGGAGGAGCCCGAAACACCCTGAGTCCCCTGCCCCTCTTGATGGCCCTGCCCCTAGGTGAGTCCTGGAGCCCAGCCCAGGTGATGGCAGAGGAGGAGCCTGATGAACCAGGATGCTGAGATTGTAGGGCCAGTTGTGTTTTTTTGGTCCCTTGGAAATCTGAGAGACGTAGATAGTCTTGGAGAGGGTGCAGGAAGAAACAGAAGGTAGTTAAAGCATCCCGTTTACAGGGGAGGAGGCTGGAGATTAGAATGGGGAAGGAAGTTGCTTTCCTGAGGCTACCTGCGTGGTGAGTCCATGGCAGAGCCAGGACCAGAGCATGGGAAACCCCCTCATGCCCGTCCAGCAAGCCCTCACCCCTCACAGCTGAACCTTAGGCCACCTCTCAGATTTGCTGGGAGAGCAAGGTTGGGACACAAAGGATTCCACAGTAGGTGATGGGGGGTAATATGGGGATAGGAAGCACTATGTCGATGTCCCCAGGCTCCCCGCGGCAGATACACAGTGTTCCATCAACTCTGGGGCCATTGCTGCCTTCGTTTCCTCCTCCTAGCCTAAAGCTACCTTTTCTTTTCCCCAGGATTGAGTCAAGGGGCGTCCCTGAAAGACCTCCATGCCAGCCCCTCCGGAAGACCTTTATGCCATCATTTGTGGTTAAGAAGCAACGAGCAAAAAACCTTTCTGTATGCTGAGACCTCCTGGTGCAGGGACGTGACCCTGCGTGGGGGTGTGTGCAGTGAAGTCTTCTTCCTCGCCCTTTGCCCTGTTGCTGCTTCTGGGCACTGCCAGGAAAAGCTGCTGATGCTCACCCTTCTCTCTGAGGAGAGGGCTGGATCTTTCTCCTCTGGGCAGCCTGGAAGAGGAGTCCTGGTTCCCTGAGAGGCCCCAAGGTGCGGCAGCCTCCGGGCTCCTTGCTGGTTGCCAGAAATCCCTGGGCCTAGTCAATGTGAACTAACTTATTTATCAGGAGTCCATGGAACGTGTTTGGCATGGTGATCTCCCGGGGCCTAGTGTGTCACAGATGTGTATTTGTGCAAAATGATACGTGTATCTCTGTGAGTCTGTCACTGTTGTGAACTGGCTGGATACAACCGTTTCTTCTGAATCATGCACTCAAAGGGTTGGTCTTCTGGGTGAGGTAACTGCGAAAGGATGGAACTGAACTTCATTCCTCAGTGGGCAGTTACTGATTTGGAGTCCTGCTTTCCTTCTCATACCTTCATGGGTAGCCCCAGGACGGGCGGGGCGGGGCTCCTATCTTGGGTGCCTCTGCATGGAGTCTTGCCTGTGAAACAGAGCCCCTGAAGACCAAACCTGGAATGGAAGGGTCAGGGACAACATGGAGAAAAGCAGAGTAAGCTTCAAGATCTGTCTTCAGCTGCTTTGGTCCCTAATAACCTTTACATATCAGAGCAGAAACCAGAGACATACTAGCTTTTAGACCTTGACAAAAATCCCTTAACTTTTCTGAGCCATAGCTTCCTACTTAATCTCCCAAATGGTTTAATGATACCTGCCCTACCTACCTCACAGTCTTATTATGAAGATAAAATGAGATTAAACTGTCTTGAAGTGCATTGTGAATATTACATGAATAGGAAGGGGGGAGGGCATGGGGTTGGAAGGAGGCCAAACTGGAGGGATGATGGGAAGGCCAGAGGATAAAGGAGGCCTGGAGTGGCTAATGCAGACAAAGGGCCAGTGATTAGTGGCAAGAGTTGAAGCATGTCATTTCACTCAACTCTTAGGTTTCATATCTGAGAATTAGGGCACTAATGCCTGACCTTATTTTCCAGGGTTGTGAGGACTAAAGAAAATGTTTCTGAGAACATTGTAAATGTCTACCAAAATATTGTGGTTTATTTATTACAGCATGTAGTGTTCCTAGCTCTTTGCTAATTGAGAAAGGGGAAAAGCTTAGTCTCCTGCAGATATCCAGAGGATGGGAGGGGACGGGTGTGTGTGTGTGTGGGGGGGTGTCAATGGAAGGGCTGGGCTAGGGATGAAGTCATTGGCTTGAGTCAGACAGGAATGTCTCCTAGAAATGGCCACTGATCAGGCACTCTCCTCCTTCAGTCAGGAGGGGCTGCTTCTCTTGGGGCTGCAGCCCTGGGGTCTGCCAGAATGAGGCCAGGTGTCGGGTGGTAGGTGCTCGCTTCTACTTAGGGGTCCAGCTCCTGCTGTCTTTGTACCAGGAACCAAATGCTCTAAAGCCTACTTTTCTAATGGGACAGTTAAGCGGCGACACCACCGAGGCCCAGCTTCCTAACGCGCATCCGATCGGGGAAGGCGCACTTCCGTTCCACAGTTGGAGGGGGATGGCAGGCCGGCGTGGGGGAAGGGAGAAGTCGGTGGAGAGGAGGGAGGGACCATATCCGGGAGAGTGGCAGCTTCCGACCAGTGGTCGCGCTTCCGGAGAGGCGCTTCCGGTGGTGGCGGCAGTAGCGGCTGTGGTGGTTCCGGGTGTCTTTGTCCCCCCGGTGTCGCGGCCCTGGCCCGCAGGTGGGTTGGGGGGCCCCCCGCCGCCTCTCTGCCCCTTCGCCTCTTCCCCGGCCGAGGGGCTGCGAGGGCCGGGCAGCAAAGATGCACGGGCCGCGGAAGGGGCCGAGCCCCCCTTCGGTCTGCAAGTCCCGTCTCCCTGGCAACGGCCTCGGCCCTGGGGGCGGGCGGGAGGAGGAGAAACCGCGCGCCTTCGTCCTCCCACGGTGGCCCCGCCGCGGCCCGGCCCGGGAGGCCCGGTGCCCGCGGCTGCTGAAGCGGGAGCCGAGGCCCAGGGAGCACGGGAGCAGGAGGGCGGGCGGGTGCGCTGCCGGATTCGCGTTCGGCCGGGCCACGGGGCTTCCTTCCCACCAGCCCGTCCGGGGAACAACGGGCCGGGCTTCCGGGGAGAGGGCCCACACTTTCTCCTCTCCGGCACCAGCCTCCTCCATTTTTCCGGGCCTTGCGTGGAGCATTTTGGCGGATGTATTTGAATGAATGAATGTCACTGGGGCCCTTTCCGATCCCCCACTCTCCCCAAGCATCAGCGGGTGGCGTGGCATCGTGAGAAGAGCGCTAAGTTGTTGGCGACCTGGGTGCGAGTCTCAGTTTTGTCACTAACTGGTGATGTGACCCTGGGCAAGTCTCAATCTCTGTGAGCTTCAGTTTCCTTTTCTTTAAAATAGCTTGACAGTATCACCCACCACTAACTTGTGAGGGCAAACTGGAACAATGTAATTTTTGCATTTCCTGCTCTTTATGTTCTCTCCATCTCCTCCATTCATTCTCCGTACCCACCTCCTCACCTTCATTAGATTCTCAGTTACTTTTTGGGGGTTGATGGAAAATTTCCCTCTGAGCTGTTCACTTCTTTCTTTTCCAATTAAAGGTTTTTTCTAAGACTCTGAAAGAGGACAGCATTCCCAATGTCCCAGTTTAAGCGCCAGCGGATCAACCCGCTTCCAGGGGGACGCAACTTCTCAGGTGATCACCTTTATCCCTATTTGGCCTCATACTGGGTATTAGGTGCTTTGGAGTTAGTCTTTTAAAATGTGGCTTTTGGGGCGCCTGGGTGGCTCAGTTGGTTAAGCGACTACCTTCGGCTCAGGTCATGATCCTGGAGTCCCTGGATCGAGTCCCACATCGGGCTCCCTGCTCGGCAGGGAGCCTGCTTCTCCCTCTGACCCTCCCCCCTCTCATGTGCTCTCGTCTCTCTTTCTCTCTGTCTCAAATAAATAAATAAAATCTTTAAAAAAAAAAATGTGGCTTTTGGGGTTTCCCTGGTGGAGTGCAGATTTGCTGCTAACGTTTCTTAGGAAAATAGGAGATGAGCACAGTGGTGGCAAGTCAAACCCTGTGGAGGAGTTGCTTGGAGTCACTCTGCCCTTTGGGTCTGCCATACCTTCTGTCTGACTCTAGTGCTCAAAATGGTAGATGCAGGTCCTGGAGATTGCTTCTCTGTCCACATAGGCACAGCTTCAACATCTCTTCTGGGTCCTCCTCCTGGTTTGCTCACTCCTCCTGTGGCCACAGACCTGTCCCAAAATGCCAGGCACCTTCAGGTAGGTTGGCATTTTTTCTAGTGAGTGTCAGCACTTGAGACTACCACAGCATGCATGGGTGCCTCGTGCTTTCATTCTTGTATAGCTGTGTTCATCCTTCCTAGTGCTCCTGACCTGGGCCAGGATGGAGGTGACTAGACATCTCTGACTGGGGAGTCCTGAGTTGTGGCTCTAGGGAAATCTTTCGGGTGCTTCTTGGAATTAAAGAACTGGAAATCCTAGAAGAAGCTTCTGACCTAAGAATCAGTGTGATCTCTTCCTCCTCCTTGCAGTAGATTATGACTGTTATATGTGTGTGTCTCCTTCATGTGAATCTCGATGCCATACTTTGTTGAAGCTGGGTGGGGTTTGGCTGCAGATGAGATGCTAACGGTGGAGCATGGACAAATGCTCTCTGTTACTTTCAAACTGCACTGTTCTCTTACAGGGTGGGGAGAAGCAGCGGGTCTTCACTGGTATTGTTACCAGCTTGCATGACTACTTTGGGGTGGTGGATGAAGAGGTCTTTTTTCAGCTAAGGTAGGCTTGAGGTTAGTCCCCTGAATGCCTGTTGAATTCAATTCTGTCGCCGTGCTGGTGGGGCCCCTCTGAAGCCATTGCTTTGCTGTTTTTATGCAAGGTGTGTGAAATCTTGAAGGGCAGGGCCTCCTAGGGGCAGTCAAGGTGGCTTGGCCAGGGTCTCTCTCCTGACTGGGTCTCCTGGCTTGTGTGCTGGCAGTGTGGTGAAGGGCCGGCTGCCCCAGCTGGGTGAGAAGGTGCTGGTGAAGGCTGCATACAACCCAGGCCAGGCAGTGCCCTGGAATGCTGTCAAGGTGCAAACGCTCTCCAACCAGGTATGCGTCTTTTCGGCATGTGCATTGGAAAGGGGAGGGAGGGAAGCCCCAGTGCCCTGAAAGCTGGGCAAGAACCTTACCTTTGTCGAGGGGCAGGGCTGCATCTTTCCAAGGTAGTGAGCAAATCGACCACGAGATGCCCTGAATTTCCTGGTTACTGTCCTGCAGCCCCTGCTGAAGTCCCCAGCACCTCCCCTTCTCCATGTGGCAGCCCTGGGCCAGAAGCAAGGGATTCTGGGAGCTCAGCCCCAGCTGATCTTCCAGCCTCACCGGATTCCCCCGCTCTTTCCTCAGAAGCGTGCGTACCAGTGGCATGGATGTTGGGGGGCCTTATGGGGGTACTCTGGATGAATGGGTCTGTAGCTCTCAGGTTGTTGCTCTCAGAATAGAAGTGGGTACTGCTATCACTGGAGGAAAGGGACAGGGAAGTTGGGCAGATATGTAGGGTTTTTGAGTCACCAGCCATTTCTTCTCTGTAGCTCTGAGTCTCTTCCAAACATCCCACACACTTCATCTGAGCCACCTGAACAGATTTCCTGCTCGGGGCCCTCATGGACGATTGGATCAAGGCCGAAGGTAAGAGAATGATCAAGCAAGGAAGGTATTTTATTTATTTGTCTCTAGGAGCAGTGTCTCTTTCCCAACTGTTACACTAACATTCTTTCTGCAGCTAGATCCTGGGCCCTTTCCCCTGAAACAGGCCGACGCACTGAGATGTATATGTAAACATTAGAACTTCATAAACTGGTTCAGCAAGCAGGGATTTGACATAGTTCGTCTTTCAAAATACCATATTGAAATTTATAATTTTCTCTTTTATTTCTAGTCCTTAAGACTGAGATGCCAAAAATCAAACTATCCAGAAATAGTAATTGTCCAAAAAAATGTAACTTTGCAGTGTTTGTTTTAATTTCTAGTATAAAGTGTTTTTTTTTTTAAGATTTTATTTATTTATTTGACAGAGACACAGTGAGAGAGGGAACACCAGCAGGGGAAGTGGGAGAGGGAGAAGCAGGCTTCCTGTGGAGCAGGGAGCCCGATGCGGGGCTCGGTCCCAGGACCCTGGGATCATGCATGACCTGAGCCGAAGGCAGACTGAGCCACCCAGGCTGCCCTAAAATGTTTCTTTATATACACTGTACACATCAGTTTGGCATTAGAATCTGTAGGTTGCACTCTGCCCAGAAGTCCAGGCCCGTGCCTAGAACACGTAAATAGCTTCATGGCCCATATGTAGCCGGCATGGTGGATTTGGGACTTTGGGGGTGTTCTGGGCCATCCTGTATCATCTGTGAGCTTTGGGGACTGCTGGGAGCATGCTGCCTATTCTCTCCAGCTCACGTGTTCCTTCTCTTACCTTACTCTCCCTAAAAGGTTTTGCTTATATTCCTAGAGTTAAGTTCTCAATTAGTTTGCTTAAGACTTGTTTTAGTTATTCTGGTGATCCTCATTTTAATTTTTTATTAGGGAAAATTGCAAATATAAGCAAAAGCAAACAGAAAAGGATGACGAACCCTCATATACCCACCCCCCAGCTTCAACAAGTATCAACATCTTCCATTCTTTTTCATCTCTACCTCCATCTGCTCCCTGCCTTGTACTTGCTGTTTTTTTTTTTTTTTTAAGATTAAAAATTTTACCACAAATATTGTATAGGTTGAAATGCACAAATCTCAACTGGACAATTTTGACATGGAAAAATCC